GACAACCTGCTTAGTTTGAATACGTATCTGGCCGCTGACGGAAAAATCAACGCCAACTTGTCACAGTTGCTCGGGAAGTTGGAAAGCGTAATGGGAGTTCGAAGCATTGTATCGAGACTGGAGCCTCTAGGGCAAAGTCACGGGGTAGCTAAGCGATTTAGCCCTCGTGGGCTAGCAGACGACAGTTACCGACAACAATGTCGTAGCAGGCAGGTAGCGTCTACCCAATGTCATATATGACACACGATACGGCGCGGCGGAACGTCTGCGATATATTCTATTAACCGTAATACTATTACTGAACAATCGGAATTGCATATGCCTAGTTTAGAAAAATTTGTCGTATTCGGATCGGAAATTGGTATGATTTCACCATGACAGAAAACGATGAGAATGGTAATTTCACTGACGTCTTACCATACATCACATATAATAGAGGCGTATCAACGGATTTAACGAATCATGAAAAACAGAGCTACTGTGATTCGCTTACTCAGGATTCGCTACTTTTGGTTATATCCTACTAAAAGGAAAATTATACATAAGCGGCCACCAATTATTCGGTGTCGCGCGGCAACTTATGCTGGTCCTATTTATCCACTAACTTCTGTCGCCACTACTTTACTGACAACGCGTTGTTGTTCGATAGATTTGGTAGGTCGTCCTGTAACGTTTTCAACGCCAAGGTTTTTTTCCAATGAGACTCCAGAGCGTCGCCATTTATACCACCAAAATTTCAGAAAAAGGCGATTCAGTAAATATTATCTCAATAATGATTTGATTTTGTGAGAAGTACTCTATCGATCGATGCAGTGAAGGTGGTCAATGTCATTCTTCAATACAACCGAGTATCTCGGTGGACGGCGGTAGAGAAATGCTGAAATTTTTAGCTAGCTTATCTGTTGATATCAGGTCGATTGCTTGAAAAAGTGCCCGTTGACCGTAACATACGCTCAATTGCTACCAGCTAAAAAAGAGCAATACATGCTTTCGTAGGTATCGGGTATAGCCAAGACAACTCCTGCGATTGGATCAAACGCACAGGGTTCAAGCAATGAGGCGCACTAGGTTAGTTCGGCTCATTTAGTTGAATTAATTGGTTAGACAAAAGGAACTTACCCGGCCCAGTAAGTTTCGGTTAGGTGGAAGAAGTGGTGGTTTAGAAGGAACAGAGAAAAAAAATCTCGTTTACAGAATCTTTTTTGAATATCTGATAGTATAAATTACTTCTACTGAAGTCGGTATCGTCGGCTAGAAAGATCCACAATATCTCTGAAAAGACATTTCTCAGTTGGTCTAAAGCGTGTGTTACAGTTAGTCGTTACTATCTCAAGTACTCGCCGTAGTATCAATAGATGAGCTAGCTAAGAAAATTCGTTACCTCTCGAATTCTGCCAAGATGTCCTATTTCTAGCTAACTAAAACTTGTTCCGGGACTTCCTTTATTCGTTTTAGTGAATGCGCTGTTTAAGCTTCCCTCAGACAATATTTGGCCTCCAACTGTGTTGGAAAACCTCTTAGTAGTTCTACTTTAAAACTGGAAAGTCGATTTGGATTTAAATTTTTTATCGTTCGCTTTAACTATATTTAATTAACTGATTCAAAGCGACAATTAGAAGAACGAGCAAATTCCGTTTACCACGCACGTTTTCCCCAATCATCCTAATCTCACTTGAGGCAGTATTTCTTACACAGTCACATATTTACTAAAGTAATATCTATCAAATCACGTTTTTTATATATTTTACCCTTTACCTTTTATATCGATGCCCTATAATCAAAGCATCGTTCACTGAGCTACATCATCCCCAGCTACTGACGGTGCAGTATCGTTCGTCGACATCATGACATCGCCAGTGCCCATCAAACCGCATAAGCAACAACAGCCGACACCAGACAGCCAAACGGACTGAGAAGAGAGCCAAAGAGACCCAGGCCCACCACGGACAAGCAACCAGTCACCAGCAAAAGAGCCCAAATCCAAGATGGCGGCAGGTGCTGTTGCTCGCCGGCTGGGCAGACAGCAGCAGCTTTGAGCGGCGAGGAGAAATAACCCGGTCTGGCGTCCCGTGACGCTGCCACAGTAGAGTAATAAGCTGGAGCCGGCAGCAGCGCCACCGGGTGAAGAACACCCCACGATGCTGGCAGCATGGCTCTGCTACTGCTGTGTGTTGCCGGCTACATTCAGTCAGTCAGTCATTTGATCCTCGGCTGCAAGTGAGTGAGCTACTCACTCGTGTTTTCTATTCTTGTTTGCTCCAGTGGCCTCAGGCCAGAAGCGGCAGCAGCCTCTGGGGTAACAATGCACCACCACTACAACTTGAGGCATTGCACTAAGGCACCAACAAAGGGTCCACTATGGCCCTAGTACGCCGCAGCTGATGGTCTCCCCCCTGCCGCTTCTCTATAGAACACGGTTAGACGAAGCGACCAACAGGAGGAGGCAGGCAAAGCGAGAGAAAGTGAATACGTCCAATACAGACGACTATTCTATCGTCTCCCTTGAAGTTCCTTTTGCTATTATAGCTGATACTTGAGTATCGTAGCGATATCTACAGAAATATTTCGAGTTGTCCGGTATTGCCATTGTAAGGCACTGCTTCACACGGCCGCCGCCTCTTACCAGCCGCAACGATGTGTGTCTACGCTCAAAATCAGACCTAGGCAGAGATACCTGTGTGCAATTGTTGCTGCGGTAAAGAAGTGATGCAGTTGCCCTGCCAGTAACTGCAGCAGCAGTAACTGCAGAGGCGGCAGCGAACGAGGGCTTCGTAGCCGTGCTCCCGGTAGCAGCCAGTAGAAATGCATTGATGTCGATGGCCGATGAATAGCTGACTGATGTTGATGACAACAAGACGTCATCTACAAAGCTACGGGGTCAGCCACAACGCCGCCACCGCCATCATAACGGCAACAACAACCGCGATCCCGGCGACAACAGGAACCACCAGCAACAACAACAGGCTCAGCTACTGAGCAAAAAAAACATATATAACAGCTGATTTTTTTCTAAAAATGGTCGTTTTGAAAACGGTGAGATGAGGACGGAACGCGTCCGCCATATGACGCGATATAGAACGGTCTATGTATATATATATATGTTTGTGACTCTTGTCTAATAACTATTGATAACTACCGCTGTTGCTGCTACAATTAATACAGCGAAAAACGGACGACTAATCACAAAAAACAGAATATATCCATATTTTACTTAGGACAATGACGGCAATGAAATAGCACAAAAAATCCAGAGAAACTCTCACTACATCCAGGTAGTATAGCGATATCATTATAATGTGCGGTACAACGGGACACAAGCGACGCGTACAGACATGTTTATGCGTGTACCTAGAGCTGAGCAGTAGCTTTATGTAAATTTAGATCTTGTAGCAAATTCTTCAACGGTGTCGCTCACCCCACCGTCAATAAGAAAACATAATGATCTGATACGGCCAGAGGGGGAAAGGGAATTCGGAACATATTTTCGTCATTGAATTGCTCCAGATTAACGTTTGCCGACCACCATCGGATACAATAATCGCGCCGAGTGCTTCACGTTGCCAGTGTATTACATCGTTTGCGTGGCAGCGCTTGTGAGGTTCGTATTTTTTTCTCTGTAGCAAACGAAAGAGCGGGGCGAGGGGCACGTGGGGGGAAAAATAGAGACTGCGAGAGCAAACGAACGGCAGTTTCCGACATCGACTGTGTGAAGGGTTCCACATGGGGGATAGAGAGGTTGATCAGTTTTTGTGGCGTGCTATCAACGAGAATCGGTGCTCTTGGATGCAGCATTCATTACCAGTATTGCCATATCGATATTGATGGATTAAACGAGACTTCCATGAATAACTGAGAAACAGAGATGTTACTACTCTACCAGAGATAAAGCTAAGCTATTTGAATAGAGCTGGCTAAACGGTGGGGCGGCAAGCAGCGATGGGGCTGAGACAGCGAGGCAAAGAGAGATACGACGATATTGTTGATTACGCGTGGCGGCGCGGTGGCGGTTGATTATAACAAGTAGTCGTATCTTTTTTGTCGAAACACGAGAATGCTAGATAATGACTAAGTGACAGACAGATGAGTAACAGATCTATCTGCTCTAGTGAAAGAACAATTTTAATCAATCTGGGGAAAACCTGACAAGATAGTATTATACAATATATTGAATGGTGGTGTAGACCTATTGAAGTGATAACGTAAAGATATACGACTGTCCTGCGCTGTTCGATATTTTCCGTCCGCCGTTCGATATTATCCGCACCTCAGATATTGATTTTTGAGAGACGAAACCTGGGTGAATCGAAGTGGCCCTCTGCTGCGGCGAATATAATTTTTGTCTACTCAGAGATAACACTTTGAACTGATCTAACAAACTCGATGAAACGAACTCTTTATACGAAAAATCTTAAGAATGGTTTTTAACGAAACACTCTCTACTCAGGATCAGCTCCGACTGAATTATAGCTAAATGTTGAGTTAATTCAACATGCGCACAGATTTTCAGTTACACACACAGAGTCAAATACTGCCACACACTCAGGCATAAATATTCATTAAATGGAAGTAAAGATCAGTGGCGATCGGAGCAACCCTGAGCAAAATATAACCAACAAATAAAAAATACGGACGAAAAAAGACAATAACAACCAGAACCAGGCATTATCCAGTCACAGCGAAGTTTCTCTTATCTCATGTGCTAGTGCCGTATCCATCATACGCACGCACGGACTGAGTTTCACACAGCAGATATTGCAAACTTCCCTCCCGCCCGGCCTCTCGAACGCTGTTTTGATCACAGCGACAAAATCTTTGCAACATTCTCGTTTACCATCTGTGGGCATCTGCGCATGGTCATCAGCACGGCGATGATCACTCTGATAATGATGTTTCTGATGGTGGTGCTGACGACGATTATCAGCATCGCCACCATTCTCGACTTACACGAACAGCGATCACGAGTCATAGACTCAACACCTCACCCTCTACCGAGAACCTACCGCAACGGGAAGAGACGAGCTGACGGGATGCCGCGTGGGGTACATCCTCAACGTCCAATGTCCGGCCGCCGCTTACGAGAAGTGGGGCGAAGCGTTCTACTTTTAGTAATCCACAGCGACGTCGTGGTTGATGTTGTTGCCGTTGTCAATGTACACACACACGATTAAATAATACACAGCACATATGACGACCTGACGGAATGATTAGCACAAAGTATTAGCTAGCTCCTTCGGAACACACGGTCAAGACAGATAATGCACGTTTAACACGACGGGGGCTGTTGTACCGGTAAATAGATAATGAGCACTCGACACTTGATTTCCTTCTTCGTTAGGCACGCTATTATTCACTAATTCTTTCGTAGACAGCGAATATGTGTTTGGTAGTGCTAGCAGTAATGCCACATCTACTGTGTTTTTCTTTTTCGGCTATTTCCAGTAGCTTCTGTCAATTTGGCGATGTACTCCAAGCTTGCGGCATCAACGCCTTCGCTTATAATACTGTCGCTGCTATATTGTATCCGAAGCGTTCACTGATATTGTATTACTGCTGTTGTATGCACGCTCTGCAGTCACGTCAGGTATTACCGCGACCTATTACTGCTGATTCGATTTGCGACGGTGTTCGGTTGGAGACCGGTTCATCGCTGCTAGGCTCGCCGGCCCCACGGCCAACGTCAAAAGGACAAGATAAACAACGACAGGACAACGACGAAAGTACGGACCAGCGTTGAACAAAACCAGTCTGACTGGCTTTTTTTTTTCTGATTAGATTTAGGCTTCAGATGGACTTTCGAGCTTCACCACTGCTACAGCTGCTTCTGATAGCACATACACACTATTTGACACATAAGAACGAATTCCAGTGGGGCAGAATTAGAACATCCTACACTATGAACTCCGTAGCGAGCGACGTAGTCGGAACGACACACACAGAAAGGTTAAACGCAAGTCGTCATGTACCCTGAGGGACGGGAGGCGGAGAAGGGGGTCTGGCTAACCGCACCGGTGACCAGCAACGGACTATGGACGACCAACTATCGACGGGCAGAACAGCAAACACCTCAACTTCGCTGTTATGGCCGACCGGGATACACCAGCAACTGCAGGACCGATTGTCGTCTCTGAGAGGTTGTTGCAATGTTTGTTGACGCCGCCGGCGCACCGCAGCAACAACAGCAACAACAATTACCACAACAACAACAGCAACAAGCAGAAGCTGTTGCTTGGCTTACTCACAGATCGCAGGCGTTACGACTAATAATCGTGGTAGCAGTTGTAACCAATGCAGGCTACTAGGCGATGCCGCTTGCCTGTTCTTTAGCCGCTGCTGAACCACGCTGGCCACAGCTCACCACAGCATCACCAGCAGCACACGGCTGCTGTTCTTGGTCTACGTCGGCCACCAACTCACTCCACACGATTGCTGCTGTTGGATGACTCGTCGTCGTATCCTGATGCAGCGAACAAGCGGGCTGTGGCTGCCGCTGCCGCTGTTACTGCCGTCACTTTTCGCGGCGGCCTACCAGCAGCGATCTGCGGCGCCACTCTCCGTCGCGCTGCTGCTGCTGCTTACGACTCGCTCAAACTCTTGGATCCTTCTTGGCTCAGCCCCTCTCTCCCTCTTCCTCTCTGCGTGCTTCTACCCCCTCTGTTTCTCTTCGTCTCATGCAATTTATCCTCGACCAGTAGCCGCTCCCCTTCGGTCGGCCGCCACACCAACCGCACAGGCTCACTGTTGGCGATCAGCGTTCGTGCTGCTGGTAGTAGTAGAATTCGGCGGCGGGGTTGTAGTACTACTTCGCTCCGTTGTCGTTGTTGACGACCAAAGCGCAGCAGCAGAAACTACACACACGCACAGAGAAGTGGATAGACAGACAGAGATCAACACACGTACAGGCGCGGGATAAACGCTTTCGTGCACACACAGGCACTCCTCACACGCTGTGGCGCCTGCTGCCGCCACCGCTGCCGCTGCTGCTGCTGTTGATGCCGCTATAGGGTGAGCGCCGCTTACAGACGATCAACAACAGCTTCGCTTCGTTCGCGTCGTAATCGTAGCGCAGTCGTCACAGCACACAACAACGCACCACGGACACGCTGCTGCTGCTGCCGCCGCGAACACAACAAGCAGTTTTCTACCCTTCGATCTTTGCTCGTTTAGCAACGAGAGCAAGCGTCGTCTGCCCGACCGACTGCCTGCGTGCCCCTTGTGGCGCGGCTCGAGTAAGCGATGCTTGATGCCGATGGCTGGTCGCTGACGGTTGTAACCGCCAGTGCTGCCTGCTGCTGCTATTGACGTTGTTTTCTGGTCGACCCTAGCTCACCAGATAACGGCTGCTGCTGGTACCGGGCAGAAGAAGTGCGCCTGTGGCTGGCGCGCTGCAGCAGATCTGGACGAACAGCAGCAGGGAGCAACGATAGCTTCGTCGTCCGTTTGCTGGGTTCACTCAGGCTGCAGTCAGCAGCAGTCGTCGTTGCTTGTCCCAAGCGGTTGCTGCTCTAGCGCAGCTTCGTGGCTCGCTCTTTGCCTGCGGTGGCTGCCTCGCTGTAGTCCGTGTCAACCGACCGACAGATCGAGCGACCGACCCACCGACGAACGACCGAGGTCGGTGCTGCTGCTGTCTCCGCTGCTGTTGTCGTGGTGGTGGTGGTGGTGGCGGTGGTGGTGGTGGTGGTGATGGTGGTGGTGGCGGCGGTGGTGACGCCGGTGTTCGTTAGTTCATTCGCTCGCTAGAACACTCACTGGGACGGTAGGGCTGCCTGTCTGCCTGCCTGCCTGCCTGCCTGCCGGGCTGGCTGGCTCGGCTTGGTCGCTCAGCGATGCCTGGCTGCTGCCTGCTGCTGGAGCTGGCTTCAGTCTCCGCTCTCGGTCCTCCTACCAATTGCCCTAATCAACAATGATCTGCCCGGTAGAAACGACTCCTCGGAGGGAGGACGCACATTTGCGTCGGACCCACGTGCGCGAGTCACTGACGAGGCGGAGCTACTTGCTAAAGCCCGCCCCGTCAGTGACCGTCACCCAATCGGGAGCGTCGCTGCCCACTGCATGGGCCGGACTTACGCACGTGCACCAGTCACCGACGTGTCCCGCCCACACGCTAATGCGATAGTATTCTCCTT